CAGGCACGCACCACCATGCCCAGCTAATTTTTTGTATTTTTAGTAGAGACGGGGTTTCACCATGTTGACCAGGATGGTCTCGATCTCTTGACCTCGTGATCCACCCACCTCAGCCTCCCAAAGTGCTGGGATTACAGGCTTGAGCCACCGCGCCTGGCCCACAAGTTTCTAATTTTGATAAATTCCAATTGATGTGCTTTTTATTGCCTGCAATTTTGATGTTTTATCAGTGGTGTAAACATCATTGCCTAACCAAAGGTCTCAAAATTAACTCCTGCATTTTCTTCTCAGAGTTTTATACTTTTAGCTCTTACATTTAAGTCTTTGATCCATTTTGAGTTAATTTGTATGTGTGAAGAAAGTGTCCAAATTCATTCTTTTGAGTGTCAATATCCCATGTCAGGCCCAGTGCAGTGACTTAGGCCATTAATCCCAACACTTTGTTTGAGCTCAGGAGTTCAAGACCACCCTGGGCAACATAGTGAAACCTCAGTGCTACAAAAAATAAAGAAAATTAGATGGGCATGGTGGTGCATGCCTCTAGTCCTAGCTACTTGGGAAGCTGAAGTGGGTGGCTTCCTTGAGCCTATTAAAATTTGCACTTTGAATGAAGAGACACCCCCTCCCCCACCCCGCAAACAGGCTTTGTGTGAGCAACATGGCTGTTTATTCACCTGGGTGCATGTGGGCTAAGGCTGAAAAGGGCGTTAGAGAAGGGGCGTTGGGATAGGAGTTGGTTTTATAGGTTGGGGCAAATCTTTTGGGGAGGGGGCAGGGGTGGTACAGAGTAAGGTAGGTTACAGTGGTGGGGGTAGGGGCAAGGAGTATACATTGCCCTAAGTTCAGTTACAATGGCAGGTGGGGTAAGAGTAGTTAAGATGGTTGGGTGGGATGAAGGGAAGCTTATGTGGGTGGAGGGGGAGGCTCCGCTGGGTGATCAGAGATAATGGCAAATGCAGACAGGGGTTGGGGGGTGGTCAGCCAAAGTAGGCAGGACTTTAGACTTTCTGGGTCCAGGCTTGCACATGGAGGCCTGACAGAGCCCAGGAGATCAAGGCTGCAGTGAGCTATGATACACCACTGCACTCCAGCCTGGGCCTGAGACCTTGTCTCCAGAAAGAAAAAAAAAAAATCCACTTGTCCTAGCACCTTTGTTGCAAAGATTAATTACTCCCTCATTGTATTGTCTTTCTACTTTTGTCTAAAATTTAGGGTCCATTTGTAACAAAATAATGTTTTCCTAAAGTTAAAAGTTGCTACTGTTACCTCTCAATTTTAACTTTTTTTTTTCTTTTTTAATTAATGTTTTGGTTTTTTTTTTACCAATGGCAAGCTGTAAGAGCTTTTTTGCAGTGGTGGGCAGGGGAGGTCCTTGATATAGAACAGTAGGTGCTGCTTATCAACATTTGAAAAAGAGAGTTCTGCCAGGCAGGGTGGTGCGTGCCTGTAGTCCCAGCTATTCGGGAGGCTGAGGCTGGAGAATCTCTTGAGTCCAGTAGTTCTGGGCTGTAGTGTGCTATGCCGATCGGGTGTCTGCACTAAGTTCGGCATCACTATGGTGACCTCCCGGGAGCGGGGGACCACTAGGTTGCCCAAGGAGAGGTGAACCGGCCCAGGTTGGAAACAGAGCAGGACAGAACTCCTGTGCTGATCAGTAGTGGGATTGCGCCTGTGAATAGCCACTATACTCCAGCCTGGGCAACACAGCGAGACCCAATCTCTTTAAAAAAAAAAAAAAGAAGAAGAAGAAGAAGAAAATTTGTTTTTGTGGGGTTGTTTGTTTGTTTTGAGGTGGAGTTTCACTCTTGTTGCCCAGGCTGCTGTGCAATGGCATCGTCTCAGCTCACCACAACCTCTGCCTCCCGGGTTCAGGCTATTCTTCTGCCTCAGCCTCTGGAGTAACTGGAATTCCAGGCATGTGCCACCATGCCTGACTAATTTTGTATTTTTAGTAGGGATGGGATTTCTCCATGATGGTCGGGCTGGTCTTGAACTCCTGACCTCAGGTGATCCGCCCACCTCGGCCTCCCAAAGTGCTGGGATTACAGGCATGAGCCATTGCACCTGGGCCACTTTTTTTTTTTTTTAAAGACAGTCTCACTCTGTTGCCCAGGCTGGAGTGCAGTGGCATGATCTTGGCTCACTGCAACTTCTGCTTCCCAGATTCAAGAATTCTGCTGCCTCAGCCTCCTGAGTGGCTGGGATTATAGGTGCACACCACCACACTTGGCTAATTTTTGTATTTTTAGTAGAGACCAGGTTTCACCATGTTGCCCAGGCTGTTCTGGAACTCCTGACCTCAAGTGATCTTCTCGCCTCAGCCTCCCAAAGTGCTGAGATTACAAGTGTGAGCCTCCATGCCTGGCCTGTATTTCTATGTTTAAATTAAAAGATGTTTCAACAGCATGATAATTGGCATAGAGCTGAGACATGTAGATCAAAGGAACAGAAAAAAAATCCAGAAGTATTCCTATGCATTTCTAGATAGTTTATGTTTTTATAAAGCACAAAGGCAGTGCAGTGGATAATGTAAAGTCTTTTCAACAATGGGTACTGGAGCAATTGAATATCTATATGCAAAAAGAAAAATTCAACCTTATTCCATACCTCTACCACATACAAAAACTCAAAATGAATCAAAAACCAGTAAAAACAACACTATAAAATTCTTGGAAGATAACACTGGAGAAATTTTTTTCTACCTTGGATTAAGCAAAGATTTGCTATATGACATTAAAAGCACAAACCATAAAAGAGCAAATAGATAAACTGCTCTTTGAAAGGTGCCAATAAGCCAGGTGTGGTGGTACACACCTGTAAACCCAGCTACTCAGGAGACTGAGTTAAGAGGCTCCCTTGCACTCAGGAGTTTGAGGCTAGCCTGGGCAGCATAGTGAGACTCAGTCTCTTTAAAAAGTGCAAGAGAACATAAAAATAAACCACAGACTAGGGGATAATATTTGCAAAGCATATATCTGTTAAAGGATTAAAAACTATACCATTTTGGGCCAAGCATCGTGGCTCACACCTATAATCCCAGCACAGTGGGAGGCCGGCAGGGGCGGCTCACGAGGTCTAGAGATCGAGACCATCCTGGGCAACATGGTGAAACCCAGTCTCTACTAAAAATACAAAAAGTAGCTGGGCATGGTGTTGCATGCCTGTAATCCCAGCTTCTTGGGAGGCAGAGGCACGAGAATCGCTTGAATCCAGGAGGCGGAGGTTGCAGTGAGCCAAGATTGCGCCACTGCACTCCAGCTTGGTGACAGAACGAGACTTTGTATCAAAAAAGAAAAAAATTAGGCATGGTGGCATGCCGCTATAGTCTTAGCTACTTAGGAAGCTGAGGTGAGAGAATCACCTGAGCCTGGGAGGTTGAGGCTGCAGTGAGCTGAGATGGGAGACAGCATCTGGGAGACAGAACGAGACCCTGTCTCAAAAAATAAAAATAAAAGGTTTTATTAAGACTTTTCCTCCCTTCTTCTCTAGATATAATTGACCCTGCAATCCTGCGCCCAGGCCGCCTGGACAAAACACTGTTTGTGGGTTTACCACCCCCCGCAGATCGCCTTGCCATCTTAAAAACTATCACAAAAGTGAGTAAAGGAAATGGTATATTTTTGTATATGTTTCTCTTGTTTTAAATAGAAACAGTTATAACAGATAGTAATTTTAGTTGACTAATTACTCTTTCTGTAGTTGTAAATGTTTGACCAGCCTATATCTCCCAAAGGGAAGGTGAACTGATCTTCAATTATTACTTTAAAATAATTTACCTCAGATCCTCTTTGAAATAGAATAGAAACTTTTGGAGAAACTCCAGCACTTTGGGAAGGCAAGGTGGACAGATTTGAGCTCAAGAGGTCAGGACTAGCCTGGGCAATATAGTGAGACTCTGTCTCTACAAAAAAAAAAAGAAAAAATTAGCCAGATATGGTGGCATGCACCTGTAGTGCCATGAACTCAGAAGGCTGAGGTGGGGGGACTGCTTGAACCAAGGGGATCAAGGCTTCAATGAGCTGTGATCACGCTACTGCACTCCAGCCTGGGCAATAGAGCAAGACCCTATCTCTAAAAATAAGTAAGTAAGTGGGCCAAACACGTTGGCTCACCCACAATCCCAGCACTTTGGGAGGCCAAAGCCGGTGGATTGCTTGAGCTCAGGATCAGCCTGGGAAACATGGAGAAACCCCATCTCTACAAAAAATAAAAAATTAGCCGGGCGCGGTGGCTCAAGCCTGTAATCCCAGCACTTT